AATTGTGAAACAGTATACTGACCTCCAGCCAGTCCTACCACACATTATAAATAAGCAACATTTAACAATCAACACATACTTTAACTTTAAATCAGATGAATACATGATTGTCCAGATCTACTAAACCATTTCGTCAAAATGTGCAAAAGCTTCACGCAGCTGCAGATGGTGGAAGAACTGATGGCACTGGGGAAAAAACTAAATAAAATTACTGCTGATTCATCCCTTTCGGGGGAGAAACAGCAAAATCCTTTGACTTTGCTTGTGGAAAACGTGGTTCTCATTTCAACAGGAACACCATCAATGGGCTGAGATGGCAACTATCAATCTTTCTAACAGAGGTTTCACTTAGTGACTGTTTCAAGAAACCAGAGTGACTTTGGTGTTTAAAACAATACCCATAAATCCAGACATGCCAAATGTCTGTTGGTCTAGTTTTAGTTATCCAGTCAGACAAACTCTCATAAACAACTTGAATATGTTACTGCACTGAACGTCAGGCTCAGACTGGATAGATGAAGTGCACAGGCAGCGGTTAACCAACCCACTGACTTCATATGATGTTTCTGTACTGGCCCGCTTTTTCCTTTTCTTTTACCCCCAAATTTTAGTTCCCAAATTTAGTCATAAGAAAAAATCCTCATAATGTTTCCATCATGAGGATTGAATTATGAAGTGAGATGGGCAATGGTGATTAATGGTGTGTTACTGGTCTGTGAGCTTTTTTTTTTTTTTTTTTTTTAATTTAAAGCATTAAAATATCTATGCTGAGCCCCAAAAAATGTCAGAGATGATGAGCAGCAGGATCTCCTTTGTTCTGGACAACATAAAAAAATTAGGTAAATTTTGGCTTTACACAGCCAGCTTGATGACCACTACAGCATTATCTTCATAAAAGGTGGTACATCCTTTCCAAGAGGGTGTAATAAACCAAATCAGCTATGCTCTCAGTAGCATCCAAAGTCAACAGCATGCACTTACTCCACTCCCAGACACAATAATTCAGTATTTTCATGCAGTAGCTAACCAGGAATGTGAGTGAGGAAGGGAGTCTAAACCACCCTAAATAACACAAAAAGCAAGAGCAAATCATGCAGCAGCTTTTTGGAGGAACGATACATCTTTAACTGTTCTAAAGTGACAATGCTCTTATGATGAATCAAAACTATCAGAGGTACAATCAGGGCTAATGGCTGCTGTTGAGTTTGATCTAAACATTAGATTTAGGTCTTATCTCAGAGACGATATTCTCCATTGCAGCTGGAGGTATGTCAGCATTTTCCTCCTTTTTATACGTTGGTGATTCACCCAGCTTCAGACAGACAGAGTGAGGGGGGCTTTGATGTTATTAAATGAAACATCTGGACACGGGAAAAAAGAAGGAGAAAGAAGAACTGACGAAAGAAAGAAAACAAGAAGGCGACACGTGACTAAGGTTTAATGAACTGAACAAAGGAGATTTCCAAAGTCATTAAACCTCCTGTTAAGGACATCCCAAGGTCAGTTTATGCTATTTTACCTTAAATTAGCCACAGCGATGGCGACCCTGAAAATCTCGCTCTCATCCCTTTCTGTATGCTTTCTTTCAGTGGCTGACAAATTTTAGATGTGCACACAGATCAAAGATATTGTTTATAATGGGACCACAGTGGGTTTTATCAGTGGTTGCAACAGATTTTGTCCATTTGAAAGCCTTTCATTGGGTTTATAGAGTGCAGGCACTCATGCAGCATTCACAGAGCTGCTTTCATCACTGATTATACATAAGAGCATTTTGACAATAGACTATAAAAGCATGAGCTTGATGCTCTCTTATGTTTGGCAAATTACAATGAGCTGCAGGAAGGAAGAACAGCAAGAACAAAATGTCCTGAAACATTACACGTTTAAGAGCTGAAAAATTGAAAACCACAATCAGAAAATGACAACAACACAGAGCGAGCCAGCCACCAAGCAGGGCAGCAGAGTCCAGGAGAAACACAGGCTGTCAGGTTTGGCAGACGGATCCACAGCATGATTTTAATGTAAAAATCACCAGGAAGTATCCAAAGACTGTCTGTATCGTTTAAGAAAAAATATATATGGTCAAAAAGAATTAGTGAAGACTGCTGTAAAACAGTGTATTCTGTCAAGGGAGTAAGGGTTTGGGAAAGAATTAGCAAGGAACTGAGAATAAATTGCCGTGACATCATAATTCAGGATGACTAGGGGGAAGTACTGGCATGAATGAATTTTGAAATTAGTCTCATTGTAGCTTCTTTTATTTATGCTGCTTGTCCATCCATCCATTTATCCATCCATCTATTCTCTTCTACTTATCCTTATCTGGGTTGCCGGCAGGCTGGAACCGATCCCATCTACCATAGGGAGAGGGGGGGCGGGGTACACCCTGGACAGGTCGCTAATCTGACCCAGGACTAGTTGCTGATAGGGCTAGTAATCTTAGTCTTAGCATATCTGACATCTGATTGTTTATTGTCAAGCAAACATCTGTTGCAAAATAATTCAACATGTCAATGTTACAATTTTGGTTTTAACAATTATACAGTTATACAAATACTGAATTTCTCTTTGTTGCATATGTTACAACAACTTCATTTTAACTACATGCCTCATGTTATTGTTACTTTTTTATTCCGTTTTTATGGTAAGTCTCCCTTCACACAGAGAAGTACAGCAATGGATAAATTGATGTTTATTAAACAATTTGCTAATTAATATTTATTATCTATCAGTTAATTAGCAAGAATAATTGTTAGATTTCCAGGTTGTGGAAAAAAATGACAGTATATTTATAATTATGCTTGTGGATAATAACCAGATAAACAGGTTGAAGCACTACAATAATGCAATGCAATAGGTTTTGTAATAAACTGAAGTATTGTTTTGTACTCTGACACAACCACAGCTGTTTCAAAGTAAAATTCACATACTATGCATAACTTATGCTGCAAAAGTAACTCTTGCTGGCAGATAGTACAGCAGATAGCGTGGTTGTTTTTGAAGCACTTTCCTCCAGCCTTCACTGGGTTTTACTGGCTTGGCTCTGCATGATGTCATTTAAGGAGCTCGAGCCACTGTCTCATATTTCTGAAACACTTGGCAGCTTGTTGTGTGCAGACTGTCCAGACAGCATGATTTTTTACCAGTTAGTGTCAAGTAGGTTAAATCAAAATGATTACTGCGAAAAATAAGTTATAGTATTAAAATAAGTTTTGATATCACCTAATCAGTGTTCATTTTGCTAGTGTTGAGGGGAAATTGTAGACTGAAACGTGCCCCGCTTAGATAAACCCTGGCTCCTCCTCTAATTTCTCAATCGGCGCTTGAATAAAGACACCTGAAGCCCATTGCTCAATCCCCCCTTGACTTTCGGGTTGTATTTTTGTGGGGAAGTTGATTTATTGTACACTCACTATCCAAAGTATGTTTAGTAACTCCCTTTTTTGTTTTGGTTACTGGTGTTTGTGGACCAGTGGAGGTTCACCCCGTGGTGACCCTGTGTTATGCTGCCCTCTGCTTGATGGTGGTGAGTACGGTTGCAGCAATTAAGGTGGCAAATCAGACTGTAGGAGAGTGGACCCCAGATACAACACCCCCCTCCTCCTTCACACACACACACAGACTGGTTTATCTCTGCTGCTAGTTTAAGGCAATTAGCGGCCCTGGACACTCGCTTGCCTGGCTAGCTGCTGTTAACCATTTTTGTGCTGTTATTGTAATTTTTTAAGAAACATAATAAAGTAACTTAATTATTGAAACTCTGTTGTTTTTGTTTGGGCTTTTTCTTCATTGCAGCTCCAATCTCATTTCTTGATTTCTTTATTTTTATTCTTTATTTGTTACTTTTACTGTCAGCTGGTAATATAATCAAGCTTTAGATTATAATTTAGATAAATATTTCCAAAGTTGCAATTCTCTGGTTGAACACACTGGTAAAAATCCAGACATTAGTTTTACTTTTTCTCCATTTTATATTAACTGTTTTTAGTTTTGAGGCAGAATTTTATTGATTTAATACATCACTTGCTGCCTTTTCGGGCTTTACATCTTTTTTTTTTCTTTTACTTGTCATAAATTATGAAACTGAATGCTGTCATGGATGAGGATTTATTTTTATGTGAAGTCTAACCACACAATAAGACGAAGGCAGAGCAACTGTAGGTATTAAGAAAGAAAGTGGATAGATAAAGATGAAAGTTGATAGATAAGATGGTATAAATGGGGAGTGGGACACAAAAGCCTCTTGTGCTATAATGGACTCACTGTCAATAGCATAATTTGCACTGAGGGTACATTCAAAACAGATGTCCTTCCAGTGTTAAGTCTTACACGGGCTCCCCCTGCTGGGGAAAGTTTGTGATAACTGCAGAAGCACAATAACCAACAATCAACCAAAACCATTTTAATGATATTTATTTGTCATCAAACCCACATTGCTGGGATGTATGCCACATGTGCCAATGCACCATTATGAAGTAGTTTTTATGAAAAGGTGGAAAGCCTTCTGTCTACTGTATAAAGTATACTTGCATCACCTAAAATCAGTGTTGAGCAGTGATTTAACAATAACAGAGTTAAAGTAGACCTATTGTGCTCATTTACAACTCAATTTGTATTTTTAGTCTTTACGAGAGTAATGCTGGGCCTATGAGCAGCTCCTCAAATAAGCCATTTAGCTTGGTTCTTCTATCAAGCTAATGTTCTTCTGGTTGGCTACCACTCATAAACAGAGGTCAGCCAATCAGAGATGTCAGAGATGTGTACCTGAGATTATATTAAGGATATTCCCTTTTATCAACATTATACCGAGCCAATAGTAAAACAAACAGCCTGAAACTGAGTATTTAAGGAAGCGATCAGGATAACTTTTACATAAGCTGATATTATTATTTAATGAGCACTTTAATATGAAAATGATAAATCATGCAACTGATCTGATTTGACTGATTTCATTTAAAAACTGTAAATAGCATCTGTCTCTGTTTCATTCCATGAACATCCCTGAAAAATGTGACAAGTTTTCAGTTCCACGACATGTATTTTTAATATAAAAAACACAAGTTATTAATGTTATTGTCACAGTTTTTAAAGACTTAAATTTCAACATGTTTGAGAGGTGTAAGGAAATTAATAAATTGCAAGTTATAGGCAATATTTTTTCCCGCTAAAAACATTTCTCTTCTTTCTGGAGTTTTCCTTGTTCTTCCTGTGGAGCCACTGAAGGCGAGCTCTGTCTGTTGTGCCCTGGTTGGCTGATGGGAATGTCCGGTCTGGAATAATCTCCTTCAGTTTGCTCAAGAAAAACATCTCCAGGTTTCGACCAGCCTGAGCCACCTCTGAGTCTGGCTGCACAGCACAAGGAGAGAAAAAACAACCCACAGTGACCTATGATGAATTAGCTTACCAGAATAAAGTCATAAATATTTGAGACCAAGCAGGTGCAAGGTGATCCTTCCAGATTCAAAATCAGATTTCTATTTTGGTTAAACTTATTTTAAAATACCTCAGCACTTACTTGATTACCATACAGTTTACACAAATATCCACGTTCCCATGGCATATTGTCTACTATGCCATAACCATGTACTCAGCACTGAGGAGAAAGAAAATCAAAGACTACAGATTTCCTCCAATATACATTATAATAACTGCCTTGGCTGTAAACATCTTCATTCCTGGTAGATATAAGTAGTAAATCCAGAGATTTGATTGATACTTGATTTGCAGATGAACACAACCTTGACTGGCAGGCCCCATGTGAAGAAAGAGGCCCAGCTTGCTGATACACGTGGAACTTATCGCCACAGACTGCAGTGCAGGAATAACTCAATTATACCAGAAATTAGGTCAAAGTGGGAAATCCGCTCATATTCCTTACGTAATTGAAAGTAGCGCAGTTCTTGAACATCAACAAGACGTCATCAACAAACTGCTCAGCAGTGAAGTAGTGGAGAGTGTTGCTCTTGTCCAGTTTCCTGCGGATCACTGACAGGTCGATGGGCCTTTTGATGATCTGGTAGTAGTTTCGAGCCTGGCACACGAGAGCATAGATTTGATGTAAGATCACAGAGGTGGAACATTTTACATCCTCAGTTAGGTTGTAACAATTTCGCTAACAGCGATGTCTTGTAGTTATTGCTGTATATATAAATATGCACTGTATATTTAAACCGTTTGGTGCTCATGTATGTTACATTACTGCTGAGGTGATTTGTTGTTGTTGGACTGACCAGAGGGCTGACAGGTTCATGGAAAGGAGCGCTGAGGATTTGACAGTATAACAGCAGAGTCAACTTCTCACATCTCTGCAGACAAAAGAGCAAAATCAGTTCAAGCTTCTTTACAGTGGAGCACAACACGGATTTATTACACAGGATAGAGGTGAGTGTGAAAACGCAGGCTGATCTGGTTTGTGTAATAAACATTGATAACCCTCACGTGACACAGTATTTTAGTCATTTATGGCCCAAATATATTTCACACAGGAATACTTTATTAATACTATACTGTTTTCTTTAATTATTACAGATATTATAAAGTGTTATTAATTATGGTTTTCAATAAATGGTAAATGGTTCTTATACAGCAAATTTTCTACTCTATTAAAGCACTCAAAGCACTTTGCACAGGAGATTGTTTGCTTCAGAAAAATCTGGATGCAATCCACTTAATTTTGGTGAGGGAGCAGTCTGGGCAGAGGGGGCAATAAACCAAGCTGTTTTCATCATCACTCTGGCCATTAATTGTCTAATAGAAAGCTTCTGCACCAATAAATATTACTGTTGTAAGTCTGTTAATCAATGTTGACCCCAAACTGGACTCAAAAACTGCAATAAAATCAAAGCTTAAACCTTAACAAATGTATATATATAGAGAGAGAGTCATAAATGAGTCTACACAACTTAAAATTGTGTGGATTCTTGCCACACCGGTGGATCAATTTCAGTTGGAGAGTAGCCCTTTAATAGTTAATAGTCCTTTAATTTCACAGTAAGTGTGTGTGACCTGGCGTCTTCACACTCTTCCCCAGACAGCTCTCTCACCAAAACTAAGTGAATTGTTTCCAGATTTGTCTGAACCAAACAATCTCCTGTAAGAAAGGATCAACATTTAAGGCCATCTTCACAGCAACAGAATGAAAATAAGCATTATAGCTTTAATTTAGGAATTAAACCAGCCTTACCCTCTGGTCCAGGTTGGATAGTGTATAAGGTGCCTTGACTCCCTCGCAGGAGTCCATGATCTCACAGTCGTAGGCCTCCACGGGCTCCTGCTCACTTCTACACAGAGTACACACCCAGTCACCTCTGTGGAATACACAGGACCACAGTCCATGAAAAAACACATTAAACCCATATGTCATATATCCAGATTTGTATGTTCACACAGCACTTACAGCGGGAAGCTGCTGAGAGGAGGTATATGACAGCCTATGTGATAAACTTTGGGGCAGCGGTCACAGCAGAGCAGCTCTCCTCCGTTCAGACAAACAGCGCAGAAATCTTCACTCTCCTCAGTCCCAGCCTCAGCTCCAGGCTGCTGGGTGGATGAGTCGGCCTGTTCTCCCAAGCATCTAATTTCACTTCTTTGATCTTCACCATCGTCCACTTGGATTATATCAACCACACATGTACTTTCAACTTCATCCTCCGGGGGCAGGCATTGGTCCTGATCTGCTTCTTCTTCTCCTGGATCCAGTTCAATAACCAGAGTCTGCTCTGGATCTGGATCCAGATAAAATGCTTCAGATTCAGCTTTCCCATCATCAGATCCACAATCAAACAGGATGTAAGGCTGATCTGGATTAGAGTCACAGTCAAAGCCTGAGTCCTGCTCTGGCTCTCCAGAAAGGGAGCTGTCAGGACAATATGGTTCAGTCCAGGATGTTGGACTGAGATCACATGGCTCTACTGGTTTAGGCTGGAATGATCCTTCAGTTAGCTCCAGTATATCTTCCTCAGTTTGACTGAATCCATTCTGTTAGCAGAGATCAAGACACAGAGGTTAAAAAAAAGAACTTATCTTTGTTGTACATGAAAGTGTTTAGACCTTCAGCTCTGTACCTGTTCAGAAATATTTAATGACACATTGTCACAGAGCTCAGCTTGTTTTTGGCAAGGCAGACGTTGCAAAGACACCACAGGCTGCAGTGATGATAAAGACACAGACTGGAAGTTCAGACGCTCCAGGCTCACTACAGGTATGCAGGAATTACCCAGAATCCTCTGGGCCTCTGGGTGAATCCTGTGAAATTGAAGGTGTCTTATGGCAGTGTCTTCAATTCCATTACCAAGATTATTTTCAGCATAAAGTCTCAGTGAGGCTAAATTTCTTAACTGGATTCACCCAAAAATGGAAAAAACAACACTGATAAAGAAATAGTTCAGCATTTTCCAAGACTTTGGAGAAGTTCATTGATAGGGCAAGCTTTTAAAAGTGATTATCAAAGGTTAGCATTAAGAGTGTAAAATTCATAAGAACATTTTCCATTTTAAACCCATGGAAAGAACAAACAAAAACAATCCTGCCTAAACATTGCTGCAGATCAAGAAAACCACTTTGAGGCAACAACATTCCCCAGTGCCTCCCCAAAAAAGGGCAATACACAACAGAAACAATTTAGGAACAGGCATGACAATGACCCCAAACCTATGTCACCCTGACTTTTGCTGGGCTTTATGATCATGCAGCTACAGAAACTATAAATAGCACTCAAGTCCAAATGAATGTATTCTACTACACTGTGGACCGTGGATATCTGTCACCATCTGATCTGGCAATAAAAGTGTCTATAAACTGGCTGCCCAGTCTGTAACGTACCAAAGCATAGATTGGTTTGGATAAAGAGGACTTTAGGTTCATCCATTGCTCTGTTGTCATCCTTTAAAATCAACATGGCTTTACCGCAGCATACTCCCCTTTTTTACCTTAATCTTCTCAATAAAGCTTTAACACTTTTGTCTGGAGGCCTTTCCCATTTTTCAGATGACGGAGATGTTGCTTTTGTTTTTCTCTCATAAGACTGGTTTGGCTCCTTTTCCACCTCACAGAATCCAGTCATGCTGACCTATTTTGTTTAAAAATTCAAAAAAAGAGACTTTGCATTATTTTCATCTTTCTAAAATCCCATTTACTCATCTCTTATTTACTACTAGTTGTAGTGATGAATCCCTCCTTCTTTAAAACATTGTTTACATCTATATTCACATGTTCTGCCCGGGGGGTTGGTTCCTCTGCTGTGGTTGCCAGATTTGGACCAGTCTCAGATGGCATGGCCTCCAGTGCCAGCCTTACCCTACACTTGGCTACCCATGGTAACATGGTGGCTCGCCTTTGTGGGAAGTTGCCATAGCGTCTGCGAGGCAAGTCTGCCATCTCCAGGAGACTGGGCCTCTTGGGGTGAAAAAACAGAAGAGAAAACAGAGAAGAAGCCGATGGTTTAAAATCTTCTGTGTGCTCAGTGTTTGACCGGGGGGGGAAAAGTACAAAACCATAAAAGAGGTAGATTAAGAATCAGCAATGTAACACTAATATAACTGCTCATTTGCACAAAGAGTAACTTTTACAACACAAAAAGAGACGTTATGAGCATAACAAAAAGTTACATCACATTAACGTACAGAAGGAATCAGGTATTAGGTGAATTATGATCAAACATTACCTCAGTTTGAAGCCAAGTGATGAAAAAACAAGATGTCTGCTTCAGAAAGTCAGGTGAATGTGTCCTCAGGTGGATGTGAGCTGAGCAGAAGAGGAATAGAAATGTTCCATGTGTCCAGTGTCAAGGGGAACTCAAATGATTTGATTGGTGGAGTGAAGATTCAGCCTCAGCCCCCTGATATTTCAGCACAGCTCACAAATAGAAACAGCAAACAGGTATTTAATATTTAATGCGTTTCCCAGTAATCATGTGATGCCTTTTTGTCCAGTAGGTAAAAGATATATTGAGGGTGTAAAAATAAAAGCTCTGCATGTAAATCAGCTATGAAAATATTTGTATATTGTAAAGCCAAAAACAATGTGACAGTGTGTGTGGTTGCTAATAAATCTGTAGCTCTATCAGTGGTTGGCCACAAAACAACCCCTATGCTTTATTTTCAAACTTTATTAATGACATAAAAAGATTTTGTTTACAAAACAGCTTTGTTTTGTAAAAATGATGGAATTCCTCTTTAACGTACAAACCAAAGTCTAAAAACGTTTGGACACTGTTCCATTCTGCTTTTATTTACAGTTTTGCACAATTCGCAAATCTCATATTTCATTTACACAGAAAAGCTATCAAATGATTAAATTGAGAAAAACTATCATTTATAATAAGATGATTTTGAATTTGAAGGCAGAAACACATCTCAACAAAGTTACATTAATGAAATGAAAAGTTAATATTTGTCTAAAATTGGTGCACTTTCTCATTTTAAAGATTTAACGCGTTGTCTACAATCTGATTGTTGTGAACAAAATATGGGTTTTCAAGGTATTACAACTATTGCATTCTGTTTTATTTGCATTTTACAAAACAACCAAATGTTTCTGGAACTGGGATTATAAAAAATAACCTTTTAAATTTTGAAACACCAACATTGGAGTTTGTGTCTTTTATCAATTCATATATCAGACTGCAAATAACTGATTCACTGTCTTGTTTTACTGTTCCTGTTGGTGGAAGTTAAGATAATTTTAATAAAACATTTTTAATTTAGTAAAGATTTTCCTCAATCTGATGGCCAGGCTCTTTACAAAGGCCAGAAAAATACATTTGAGATGGACTCTTTGACATGATACATATTTCCCCTTTTAAGCCAAATGAAATCTTTATCATGGTTTCGTGTGAGTAAAGTGGCATCAAATTGAAATACTTCAAAGCAGAACAAAACTTTGGGACACGCTTCTACAGAATTATTTATCTCTTATATTAACCTTTATTTCCTTGTTTCTGAAATAGAGACAAAAAGTATAACTTCAAACACATTAAATATATATACACAAGATAGATTAGGGATTAATGACAAAAATGTCCTTACTTGTTCAGTGGTGCTGATCTCTAGGGCTGCAAAAAGCTGGTGGCATGGCAGAGGTGTGTCTTACCTTCCTTCAGAGGCTGATTTTGCAACCTGTTATTCTGGCCAATGACAAGTTACACGCTGGACATTTCACTCAAACTTTGAATAACAGACTGACTTTATGTAAATCACCTTTAACTGTGTCTGTTTGTGGTTGCGTCGCCACAGAAACCCAATAAAGCTACGTGGACATGTGTGACTACACGTCATCTTTAACTGTGTGCACGTGATCCAAGCCTGTGTGTGTTTTTACTCAGGGTTTATATTCTCTGCATAATGTGTCAGGGTACTGTTATATATGATGATTATATGTTGAAATAGTTATTATAATATCATAGTCTTGTAAGACCTGGCATTTCACTTTTGTCCTCTGTGGAGGACATGTGTCTGAGACCACTACATCAAGCCCCATGTGTGGAATCTATGCGGCTCCTAATGAACTGTCGAGATGTTTATGGCATGAGTCAGATAACCTAGCATCCAAATTTGCTAGTTCCTAGTTATAGTCACTTCAAGAAGTCGAGACGGATTCTTCAAGATTAGGCAGTCCATCAAAGTTATCTCTTATAAGAGGAAAAGAATAAAGCCCTCTTGAAGGTGAGACCCCTCTTAAGCACTTTTTATCCATAATTGACGTTGGATCTCATTATTTTAGCCCTGCTCAGGTTCCTCAAAAACTGGTACGTCCCGAGCATTTTCCTTCCTAATGTCTGATTGCCATCTCAGCAACTATCTCACTCAGCCCTCTGTCAACCATGTATGGTCATTTTAGTGAGCGACATGACCTGAAAACCCAGAATTATTTCTGTCAAGGTTCGGCTGTATAGCAGGCAGAGGTAGGAGCCAAACACAGGGCTCAGAAACAAAGAGATCAACTAAAAGAGGCAGCTTTATTTCCTGAAAGACGAAACTCCACCCAAAAATTTAAAACTGTGAAACTAGAACCTGGGAGCTATAAGCTAGAAACAGACAACTAGCAATTAGCAGCCAGGAAGTTACAAGGGAAACACAGAACACAAGGACCCACACGAAGCCACAATGAGCAGAGGGAGACTGAGGACTAAAACACATACACAGGATAACGAGAGGTTGGACCACAGGTGGGAGCACAGCTAGAACTAATTACAAACTAACAGGACATCGAAAGCAAAACAGAACACAGTGCACACAGGGCAAAGACTACCAAAATAAAACAGGAAACAGATGGACCAAACACAAAAGGCCAGGAGAAACGAATACTGAGACGAAACAGACTAGATACACTGAACACAGGGAGGGAACAGAGACAAGGCTACGAAGACAAGTGCAAAAACACTGAAGATGGAGAGAAAGGGCGAGAGCGAGGAGCAGAGAGTGAGAGTTAGGGAACAGAGAGACACAGAGAGGGGAGATGTAAAAGGAACTACACCTAACAAATCTAAATCACAAGCAATATACAATAAAATCAGAAAACTCATAAGTTTCCTTATGAAAAAGTCCTCTTAGATTAAAGACTGGTCCTACTCACCGACTGGCCTCCCCTATAGTCCAGTCATCCACATGGGCAGTTACAAACACTCTAATACACCTTGCTGATGCACCCATCACATTAGAATTGGGGCAGTAGTTTATACTATTCCACTAAATTTGAATGTCAAAAGTGAACTTCAATTAAACGTTAATATTTAAAATATTAGTGTTTGTTGCTCTAGTGTGAAACATTCGATTTCATTTTCTTTCCTCGTGTTTGTCCTCAGCCATCCAGGATACTTTGGTAAGGTGGGCATGAGACATTACCACCTGAAGAGGAATACCTCCCACTGCCCTACCATCAACCTGGACAAGCTGTGGACACTGGTGAGCGAGCAGACCAGGATCAACTACAGCAAGAAGCTCGATGGACCCGCCCCCATCAATGTTGTGCGTGCTGTAAGTATTGCCAAATGTTGCCATTATCAAAAATGTTCTCTCATTAAAACGTCTCTAATTAGCAGTTTTTGTCATAATAATTGGACCTTTCATTCAGTTAAAAGGACTAGATCACATCTTTATGGGAGTTCTTGTTGCTCTACTTTACTGTAGCTTGGAGTAGGTGGTGGCATGTCGACTTGCCATTTATATTTATTTAGAGTTTGTTTCTCCAATAGATCCTTCTGTGTCAATTTCAGTAATTACTTCCTCCAAACCACCAACGTGTCTTTTAGACCTCATTCCTACAAAACTGCTCAAAGAAGTTCTGCCATTTATTAATGCTTTAATCTTAAATATAATCAACCTATATGCCTATGTAGCACAGGCCTTCAAGCTAGCAGCAGTTAAACCATTACTTAAAAAGCCATCTCTTGACTCAGCAGTCTTAGCTAATTATAGGCCAATGTCCAACCTTACTTTCATCTCAAAAATCCTTGAAAGAGTAGTTGTCAAACAGCTAACAGATCAAATGCAGATGAATGGCTTATTTGAAGAGTTTCAGTCAGGTTTCAGAGCTCATCACAGCACAGAAACAGCTTTAGTGAAGGTTACAAATAATCTTTTTATGGCCTCTGACAGTGGACTCATCTCTGTGGTTATCCGGCTAGACCTCAGTGCAGCGTTCGATACTGTTGACCAAAATATTCTATTAGAGCAATCAGAGCATACTGTAGGCATTACAGGTACTGTGCTGCAGTGGTTTGAATCATATCTAACTAATAGACTCCAATTTGTTCATGTAAATGGAGAGTCCTCTTCACACAGCTGTCATGGAGTTCCACAGGATTCCTTAATTCTGTTTACATTATACATGCTGCCTGCAGAATCATTAGAAGGCATAGCAGCCATTTTCACTTCTACGCAGTTTACTCCCAATTTTATCTGTCCATGAAGCCAGCAGGCTTAGATTTCCCGAGTGTGATGAACAGACAGGGACCCAGTGAAGTGCTTGCTCAAAGGGGTCATATGATTGTTGGGTTTTTCTCTGTACCTATGAAGTGCCTTGAGGTGACTTTTGTTGTGATTTGGTGCTATATAAATAACATTGAATTGACTTGAATTGAATTGAATTGAATTGAATTGAATTGACTTGGGTTCAGGTTCATGCAGAGGTCGTGACAGGTGGCGGCGTGATGGCGGCGTGAGGTCCGTGGCACGTGGCGGCATCCATGGCTGCACAAAATTGTAGAAATGGATGTTTTCTGTAAATGTTAGATTTCCATTCATCTAATTGTAATTTTCATGAAATAAAAAGGCATTGTACCAGAAACAGAAACAATGTTGTTATATTACATCACATCATTCTGTAAACAAACAAAACATTAGTCAACTTTTGTTTATCAGTCACTGTACTTAAATTATCTAAAGAAAATATCTAAATAGTTTTTTCTTCTGGATCTCAGAAGGATATTCATGTATTATTTTTGCATAGTGATTAGTTATTATCATTAGCTTGGGTTTTCAAATATATATTTGTTTGATGTAACATGAGAATTTAATTGCTAAAATACAAGTAGAACCCGTTTAATTCTATCAATGTCAGACTTTAGTCTTCTTGGACTTAAAAAAAAGAAAGCGAATTTTCAGTTGACTCTTGTGTCGTTTCGATCCTCAATCACCAGATGTCGCTATGGAATTATTGCACTTTGTATTGTTGGGGGCAAATCTCGCACAAAATCGCGTTCGTTCCGAATCCCGTTCCTCTTTCAACTAGCCTCCAAGATGGTAGGTTCTACGTTTTATCCCTGTGCATCCAAACTGGGTTAAATCTACTTCCATCCTTACTAACCTGTATAAAATAATCCACTTTAGATGGTGTCTTATAATACACTCATGTTGTAGGAATAA